GACTGGTCCACAGAAAGTAGTAGGTATGCTTTTGCTGGGAGCATACCTAATAGTCATAATACTAACACAGTGGTTTCAGGTTTACAAAGTGCTTTCAATTTATTACCTCAACCACCTTGTGAGGTAGGTGCCATTATTATCCCCATTTGTAAAATTGGGAAACTGAGGCTAAGAGTGATTAAGTCATTTGCCCAGGGACATATAGCTAGCGAATGTCTGAAGACAGATTTGAATTAAGGTATTCCTGACTCCATATCCAGAGCTCTATCCCTCATTAAGACTCAAAATCCAAAGACATTTAAAACCTTGAAAACTTTACAAGATGGTAGAACTTGTTAGAACTTGTGCCCACCTGGCATAACCTTTGAGAACCCAAGTGCCCCTAGACACAATGAGACGTCTGAGTAGGACACTTTGGACATTGGCATCCTTCTGACGAATGAAGCCTTGCAACATTGTAGAGTCTCCTGAATGAGACCCATAATCCCTGAAAAGAATTCATCTGTTACGGGCCGGGTCAGGGCAGGTTTGAGTTAATGTCCCACGTTCCCACAACACTATGTGGGGCTCTTGTGATTGAAAATATGGTATAGATCTGGGGTACTTTGAGTAAACTTTGCCTCCTGGTGGAATGATCAGGGACCTAGATATGGGTCCTTTGGGCAAGGAGGATACAAAGTTAGCTCTAGGACTCTGGTAGGGGGCTCCTGAGATCCTGGGATCTTCTTTGTCTATGGCTCTTAACCTTCTTGGTAGAAGCTTGTCCCTGCTTTTACTCTGCCATGAATTTTTTTTTTTTAGCCACTTTGGGGCATGACTGATTTTACCAGGGAGGTATTTGAATATATATATATATGTATGTATGTGTGTGTGTATATATATATATATATATATATGTGTGTGTGTGTGTGTGTGTGTGTATACATAACATATGTATATCTATATACATAAATTTAAAAAAGCAATTGTTTATCTGAATCCTCAGGTTTAGATTGATTCCTTCCACCAGACGTAACCACAACCGAAACAATCGGTAACATAGGGATAGTAATACAGCCTCATGAGGGCAGTTAGCTGGCACAATAGATAGAGCACCACACCTAGAGTCAGGAGGACCTGAGTTCAAATTTGACCTATGTGACCTAGCTGTGTGACCTTGGGCAAGTCATCTAACCCTGTCTGCCTCAGTTCCTCCTCTGGAAAATGAACTGGAGAAGCAAATGGCAAACTACACCAGTATTTTTGCCAAGAAAACCCCAAATCAGGTCATGGAGGGTTGGACGGGACTGAAACAATTGGACAACAAGAACAACAACAAGAAGCACAGTATGCCTAGTACATACTTAATAAATGTTTGTTGAATGAATCACTGACCAACTGATAATACTATCTAAGGAAAACAAAACTACATTTAACATTGCTTGTATTTTCCATTTTTGTATCTTGCTGGGATCATATAAGTCACAAAGCACACGTATGAGTCATATTTGACTAATAGCTAGATAGTTCCCCATGTTCCTCCATTGTATTTTAAATTTGGAGCTTAAAATGAAATGTGCATTAAGGCAATATGTCTACTCAGTGTCATGGTAATAGGCCCATTACCAATAAATGTTGTTGATATAATTTACACAGTTATGTAAAGTACCAAATAATTAATACAAACTTTTTGGAAAGTTGAGGGTTGATGGCTGGAAGTATCAGTTAAAACAGGGATTCTCCCCATTGTCCAAACAGATTGTTCACACAGGAGCAGGAAATGAGTAGAGAAATTCAAACTCAGTGATATTTTGGGTGCCAAGCTTTATTTCACTATGTTCTCTTTTCACGTCCCTGGCCTCTGTTGGCACTTACAGCCTATGTATGTTCTCGGGCTATATTTAGCTCAAAGGGAAGGAATGCAAATAGGAAAGCCTGGACACAGTAAATGGGGTCTGGAAATGCTGGGTAACACATTCAGAAAGAGCGGCTATAATAGGAATTCTTTGTGGGCTTAGCTCACTCTCCAGGCCTGTTCTTGGGATATTGTCAGACAGCTACAGTTAAATATTCATGGCGCTAAAGATTCCACATACTGTATCGGGTAAGCTCACTCTTGAGGGCCCCTCTGAGCCCCCAAAGATAGCACCTCGCTTCCCTTCTGCTCTCCAATCAAGTGCCTTTTATGCCTTTTTCTTTTTTGGTTGGGGAAATAATGACTAATTAAAAAGTTTTATAATGGAGGCTACTCTGTCCTTCAACTTCTTGGTTTTTTTGAATTACTTTTAAAAGCTCTTCTTTCCCTTCCTCCCCTCCCCTCTACTTAATCTTGGGTCAATTTGGATTTCTTAATCAGCCAGCAATCTGTACTCCACTAAAGGGCTTGGGTTCTTAATTGCTTCTTCATACAGGCAGCTCCCTTCTCTATAGGGTAATGCATTTTAATGGGCCTCTTTCCTTTACCCACTCACCCTGGCTCCATCTGGGGAAATAAACAAACTTTTCCAACTCAGCCTCAACATCTTGGCAAGGAAAAATAAGAACTACTGTCATAATGGATAATCTTTTTTTTCTCATAATGGATACTCTTGAAGATGCAAAAAAAAAAGAAGTTCAAATGAATAAAGTGAATGCAGGTGGTACCATCAATGTGTCCCTGGAGGCAGCACGTGGACAAAACATCTCTGTGCTCTGTGCTTTCTGTGGGTCTATGATCACTGTGCATCACCCACTTTACCCATAGTCACTGTAAAGAAACAATAAACCCGAGGATTCAGAGATCACTCAGAAGCCCAAGTGAGGGGTTTTTCTGTTTTCAAGATGAGTGAAACTTTTGAGGTATAGAGCTATTTTTGGAGGATCTTGGGCAAAATAAAATATCATAGGCTCCACCTGACACCGGGGGCAGGGAGTACATATAGTGAGGGGTGGGAGGAAGAGGCAGCAGGGCTTTTTGGATGGGGATGGACCATTAGCATAGAGATTCTAATTGAATCCATGGGAGCTGATAAGACCGCTAAGGAAACACACCCACACCCACATCCCCCCCCCCCACAATAAGGCAGAGTCCTGTGGGACATCAATGGTTATCGAGCATGACCTGGATGAAGATTTGGCAAAGGAGACTGAGGAAGGGCCAGAAAAGTGGGAGGAGAACCAGGAGAGAGCAGGTTCATGAACACCTACAGAGAAGAGAGTATCAGGGAGAAAAGGGATGATGGACAATGGCAAAGGCTGCCGAGAGGTCAAGAAGGATGAAGCTTGGGGACAGGTTTTTGGATTTGGCAAATAAGAGATCAGTAGTAACTTTGTGGATAGCAGTTTGGATTGAAGGCTGAGGCTGGGAGGGCAGCTTTAGAAAGTTCAGAAGAGCGTGAGAAGAAAGAAAGTGGAGATTGTTTATAGTGCCCTGAGCAAGTCTTTAACACTAAAAAGGGCAGCTGGGTGGTGCCATAGTGCACAGAGCCCTGTGCTTGGAGTCAGGAAGACTCATCTTCCTGAGTTCAAATCTAGCCTCAGACTCTTACTGGCTGTGTGACTCTGGGCAAGTCACTTAACCCTTCTGGCCTCAGTTTCCTCATCTGTAAAATGAGCTGGAGAAGGAAATGACAAACCCCTTTATTATCTTTGCCAAGAAAACCCCAAATGGAGTCATGAAGAGTCACACATGACTGAAAAAAGATGACAGCAACAGGAGGGCAGGACAATAATGATACATTTTTTTCAAGACCCTTAAAACTCAATAAATCTTACATATTTCTACTTTATACTTTATGATTTTTCTATAGGTATCAACCATTCCTTAACATTCTAAAGACTTTTCAAATAATTAAAGGAATACATCATATTGTTCTACATATAAGGGCCAGATGTCAAATTACTTGGCTTGATCCTTGGAGAATTTCTTAAATTCCAGTCCTTCTTAAGAATATATGTTGCAAGCCAGGTGTTGCAGAACATCAGTGGAGTTCCCTGTTTTTGTGAGATCACAGATCTGCTCCAGAAAAAAAAAATTAACCAACCTAATTAGGACCATTTGCACTGAAATGAGTAATACCTCATTAAAAATGATCAATATTATCTTGATGGGAATTGGCAGATACTTTATTCAACAAATATTCTTCAAGAGCTTCTATATGCCCAGCTATTATTATTCCCCTTTTATGGAGGAAGAAACTGAGGCAGATAGAGGTTAAGTGACTTGTTACACAGCTAGTAAGTATCTGAATCTGTATTTGAACTCAGATCTTCCTGACTGTAGGTCCTATATTCTATCCATGGTACCTCCTTGTTACCTCTGTTGCTAATCAAGGGCTTGGTAACAAAATACAAATGAAGCAGTCCCTGCTCTTTCGGGGCTTAAATTCTATTGCAGATAAGTAAATATTACACATACACATGCAGATGGATACGTTTGTATACGTACACATACACAATGTGTACAATATAATGTGTGTGTGTGTGTGTGTGTATATATGGAGAGAGATAATGTATACACTGATACATATATAGATACTTTATAGCTTCATATATAAAGTAAGTATATATGTATGATATGTATATATAGTGAATAAAAAGGAATTATAAGAGAGGGTTATAAGACAGGGGCTTTTTTTTTCCTTTGAACTGATCCAGCCCTTCTCCTTTCCATTATTTTGCTCAGATTTCTCCCCTCCATCGTTCAGGTTATTATTGCCGTCACTTGGGAGGAAGAGCTTCATTAGTACTAACAGTTTCTAGTATTTCTACAATGCTTTAAGGTTTGTGACGAGCTGTACACATTATCTCATTTGATTCTCACGACAGCTTTGGAAGGCAGGTGCCATTATCATCTTCATTTTACAGAATATAAAATTGTTCACGTAAAATCTAGGTGAGTTGGAGCTGGCCATATGTCTACCTTAGCATCTCAGAATTACTCACGGACCTTACACGATGTCAGGCAACTGAGGCCATCTGCAGATTCCTTCCAAAACGGAGCCCCACCACAAACCGGTTTCAAGAACCAGCGGGACCCTTACCTGTCGCCTTCTCCGGGTGATTGCACATGAAACACTGCCACGCGCCTGCTTCTTCGCTAAAGCCAAACAAATCGAAGAATCTCACTTCCTCCAGATGTTGCTGCACCTGGTCCAGGTCCTAGTTCAGTAACGAGAAACACAAACAATAAAAGCTGCTCCGGTTCTTCCGTGCCGTGGGATAACTTGGAAACTGGAAAATGAATTCATTCATTCATATAACCACTCGGTAAATAGTTGCTGAGTGCCTACTATATCAAAGACTCTTATTGACATTCTGTGGTCAACTTCAAATCACACAAATAAAAGTCAGGAGTCTGCCCTGATGTCTGACTCTGATACTGCATCCTGGGCTCTCACAATTCTCAGAGGCTATGCCAATGGAACATGACCCTGGTGAAGTCTGCAATCACAGCTTTCTCAGTATTTCCAAATGCTTTAAAAGCCACATCTGCCATAGGTAGGCAAGCACTGTTTCCTCACTTTATGATGGAAGGAATACAAAGGCTTGGAGTACTAATCTTAGTATCTTTGCTCGAAGTTGGGGCACAGTCAGGATCAGAATTTCAGAGCATTAATTTCCAATTTTTCCTTCTTTCTACAGGTGTGTAAACTTACTGTCTTTCTCTACATAAACCACGACTCCAAAGTTCTCCAGTGGTTTTAGAACTATACATGTAGAACTTTAGAGGGTTCAAAGAGGTCAAACTCAAATAGAAATGGATCCCTGGGGTCACACACTGACTTAGAAAATCACAAATGATCATCATCTATGTTGTATTATATTTTTATTAGTTTTGTTAAATTTTTTCCAATTTCATTCTAATCTGGCCAGGGCAACCCTCTAGAGTTTTGGAGCTAGGAGGCCATGAGCTTGACTCCTCAGAGTTCAATTCCAATATTTTTATAGATGAGGAAACTGAAATTCAGAGGAGATTAAGCATATTGCCCAAGGTTACTCAGGTGGCAAGTAGTCAGCAGGGATTTGAACCTAGGTCCTCTGACTTCCAATCTAACCCACCTTTCATGGCATCTCTTTGCCCCTTTCCATTAGTCAGGAGTAATTTTGAAAATGGTACCAGTAATTGGGCAACATGACCAAACAGGAAAATGATGAATGTTGGAGAAGATGTGGGAAAATAGGAACACTAATGCATTGTGGGTGGAGTTGTGAAATGATCTAACCATTTTGGAGAGCAATTTGGAACTATGCCCAAAGGGCTATAAAAATGTGCATATCCTTGGACCCAGCAATAGCACTTCTAGGGCTATATCCCAGTGAGATCATACAAATGGGAAAAGGACCCACATGTACAAAAATATTCATAGCAGCTCTTTTTGGAGTGGCAAAGAATTGGAAATTGAGAGGATACCCATCAATTGGGGAATGGCTGAGCAAGTTGTGGTATATGAATGTGATGGAATACTATTGTGCTATAAGAAATGATGAGCAGGCTGACTTCAGAAAAACCTAGAAAGACTTGTATGGTCTGATGCTGAGTGAAGTGAGCAGAACCAAGAGAACGTTGTACACAATAACAGTCACGTTGTGTGATGACTAATATTGATAAACTTAACCCTTCCCGGCAATACAAGGATCTAAGACATCTCCAGAGGTCTTGTGATGGAAAATGCTATCCACATCCAAAGAAAGAACTATGGAAGTCAAATTACTATTTTTTTTTCTCTTCTGTTGAGTTTTGTTTCCTCTTTCCGATGGTTCGTCTTATTGGTTTTAATTTTTACTTACAACATCACTAATGTGAGACTATGTTTAAAATGAATGTAAATGTATAGCCTATATCAGATTGTGTGCCATCTTGGGGAGGGTGGTGGGGAGGAAGGGGGAGAAAAATTTTAAACTCAAAAGCATATGGAAGTGATTATTGATAAATCAAAATCAATTAATAAAAAAAGGGGAAAAAAAGAACAAAAAAGAAAGAAAATGGCACCAGTATTTGAAAGGAATTTCTTTCTAGAGATTTCTAAATGTTGAGAACTTGCTGGGTCTGGGGTCAGGAAGACTCATCTTCCTGAGTTCAAATGTGGCCTCAGATTCTTACTAGCTGTGTGACTCTGGGCAAGTCACTTAGTGCTGTCTGCCTCAGTTTCCCCATATGTAAAATGAGCTGGAGAAGGAAATGGAAAACTACTCTAGTATCTTTGCCAAGAAAACTCCAAAAGGAGTCATGAATATTTGGACATGACTGAAAGGACTGAACAATAACAACAATGCTAACCTGCTTTCAGGAAATGAAATTTCCATGGCTCGGCTCAGTGTATGTGGTTGAACTACAAGGTTCAAGGTTTGAGGACCAAGCCTATATAAGAATACAATAATGCCAGTGAAAGCATATCAGGGAAGCTGTTGATGTCTTCTTTTTTTCTTTCTTTTTTTTTTTTGTGAGGCAATTGGGATTAAGTGACTTGCCCAGAAACACACAGCTAGTAAGCGTTATGTGTCTGAGGCCGGATTTGAACTCAGGTCCTTCTGAATCCAGGGCCAGTCCTCTATCGCTGCCCCTGATGCCTTATTAATACCTAAATCCAGAATCTCAGTAATTTAGAAAGTATTTATTCTAAAAATAAATATATTATGTGTTTTTTTAAAAAAATGTTCTCTAAGATAGCAACTGAAGTATACTTGGAGGTTTTGTAGATTTCAAAGAATGAAATTCACATGAACATTATGGTGGCAAAAGTAGATGTTCACCAATATCTGTTCCAGGCCTACTAAATCTATGAAACCTTTATTTTACCATTCACATAAATAGTACTTCTCTATGTCCCTACATGATTAAATACCAATCTTTCTTCTACCATATCACAGAAATCGTAGTCTTCTGACTAAACAAAATACTATTAAATTACATCCTAGGCTTTGTTTTTCTTTCCTGATCTCAGACCAGAGGCTTCTAAGGTTATTGTTTGGCCTATTATTCACTTTCTGGGGTGAATAAGCTACTTCAGAAGTCATACTGCCATATTGGAATCCTAAAGCAGGCTTCATATGAAGGATCATTGAGGGACAGGGTGTCAGGAAAGGGGAGAAGAGACTAGTTTTTAAAGTTGGTAATCAGAGGTTTTAAGGATGGAATCTTCCAAGTCATCACCAACAAATTCAGGATTAGAGTGGCATGAAAGGGGTCCTCATATAAGTTTTTTTAGGACAAATGCAATAGGGATTGGGGAACACATTCCTCTGGAAGGAGAGACTTGAAGACACTGGCCCATGTGAGTATCAAGTCTGGGCATTCTGGAGTTTGGCCAGGGTGGAGCTCATGGCTTAAGAAAATCCTTTTAGGACCCTCCTAATTTCCCGACTTTTCTGGCTAACAAGGAGCTAAGATTAAGTCATTTTTATCTGTGGAAGACAAGCTCCGTCACTGCTCTCTTCATCTAGGCTCCAGAGGCAAAGTTTTGGTCCCCATTAGACTACAGTAATCTTTCAATTCGCATATTGGTCTTTGACTAGAGCACTGAGAGATAAGTGATTGACTCAAGGTCACATAGCTAGTATGTGTCAGAGCAGGCCTTGAACCCAGATCTTGACTCTAAGGCTGGCTTGCTACCTTTGATGCCATGAGGATTCTCCCATTTGTTTGATGCCATTTCACTTCTTCTTGGTAGCCCTGCCCCCATCCCTCCCTCCACACTGGCTATTTCTAATAGTTCCCCTCTTCCCCCTCCAAAATGTTACCATATGTCACCTCTTAAACATTAATGAGAGTCAACATTAATTTAATTTTGAATGTTATCTCAAACTGCCCTTTGAGACTTTGGAGACATCCCAAGTATCACAAACTCAACAATCTTTGCACTCCAGGTGGAAGTCCCCTAAATAGAAATCATTTCCAGGTATTTTAGCTGAAATGTATATCATATAATAAGCAAGAGATTAAAACGGTGGCTTGGCAGGCAATTCTCAGGGCAGAAGATAATTCTCCTTTGATAGTTATGTTTGCCCGATTTCCTTCCAAACCAAGTTTCAAAACAGAAAATATTTTAGTCACCTAAAGAGCAAGCATGGTATAGTCCAGAGTGAGAGAAATGCTCTCAGAATTAGGTGTTCCTGGGTTCAATTCCCCACTCTAAGACTACAAGTAATACTGAGGATAGGAAGAAAAGCAAAAACATGTTCTGCCCTCAAAATGCTCCTATTCTAATGGAAAGAATACGTATAAACAGCTATGCACATATTAGATATATGTAGTCAATGGGAGATTATATGAGAAGGAAGACGCTAGTAGCTGGGGTATGGCAGGAAAGACCTTTGGAAGAAGATGGGATTTGAGCTGAATTTTGAAGGTATGACCCTGGAGAAGTCATTCAACTTTTCAATATCCCTAGGTTACTCTCTAAAAGTACTTGCAGTCAGGGAACTCCCTTGCCAAGGATTAAAGCAAAAAGGATAATAATGTCCTGGGGAGAGAAAACAAAAAGTTCTTTTCTGAACATTTGATTACATGAGCATTTTTTTTTTCCTTTCACAAAAGAATACTAATGGGAAAAGGAATTGGGAAACATAGAATAATCCTCTTACTATACCTCTTAAAAAACCAATCCGGGAAACCTAGAAAGGGGAGAAGATATTTACAAGCATTATTTGGCTGACAAAGGACAGCATGAGTCAACACAGTGGAGCCTGAAAAGGGGGAGAAAGTCTCTGGTTCTTAAAATATCATCAATGTGTGCTGAAAGAGAACTGTGAAGCAATTTTCCAGAAATCAGTGAGAGTGGCTAACATCTGGAAGGACTTTAAGTTCTGGCAAATTTCAATTCTGTTCCAAAGTGATTTGTGAGTGGAGGTACACTGTAAGATTGGCTAATGTGCCGTGTGTTCCTGCATTGAGCACAATTGATAAAGGCACATATTTCCAGGCCAGATTGAATAACACAAACAAGAGAGGGTTTTTCCTTTATTTATTTAATCCGCAATATATTCACGTAGGAGTAAAAAGTTAATATTTTCATAGTCACCATGTGACTGCATTCCTCTTCTATGGGATATGAAGGCAAAATACTATGGATGGATGCAAAAGAAAAGTACGTTTCAAAACTGTGTATAGCCTGGTTTCCAAAACGTTTTTGGTCTTCAGACTTCTGAAACACGTTACCATG